TTTTTTTTTAATATCAGGATTGTAAACGCTGTGTTAAGTCATTTAAGGACATTTTTATATAATATTTATTATTCTAAATTAAAGTCGTTAGATTTTCTTATTTGGCCCTTCTGGGTCCAAATATATAGTAAAAATGGCTGTGGGGCATTGCTCATTTTCCCCACATGAGTGCAGCATTTACCCTTTACCCATACCACCCCCGACCCCCTCCACTTGCCCCATCAACTCCTCCTCTGTGTTTTACATGAAGACACGCTGCTGGATATTTTTCATAGTGTATCACAGAGAGATGCTCAGTAATCTGAGCCTCTAGCATTGGATCTGCCGTGTAATTCCCCAAGTTTTTATAGTTTAAACCTCAAAAGCCTTTTCAAGGTGACTCCAAAGGCACAAGGCAGAGTGCCTGCCAATGTATCATCTGATGCTGTCTAAAAGCCCAGTGTTTTTACCTTTTTCTCGCTAACTGCAGATAAATATTTCTACCCCCTGCTGGGTCAGCTCCAGCTACACATTTCTTGAAATTTGCACTAAAAGATGTTTCAGAACTGAGCTGCCCTCACTGAACAGTTCCCATCTTGCTCTCTGTCCATGTATCTTTTATAGCGTCTACATAACATGCATTATTCAGCAATAACACATGGTCCATCTGGACTTCTGTGACTTTGTGCAAGCGTGTGTTTATGCATGGGTGTCAAATCGTGTGACAGCACATAGTGTATGGTCTATGAGTCTATGTTTCTGCAGTGTTATTTCACCATATAACATCAAATATGAAGAATATATTAAAACTAAGTACGACATTGACTGAATAATACTGGAAGTGTTCTTTACCAATGCAACCAGGTTTTAACCCGCTTTAGCTTTAAATGGTCATTTCTGAATGTCCTTACTTTGTGAAACATAATATATTTATATGACTGAGTATGAGGTGTTTTCTTAGGGTGTATAACTAATAATCTGAACCACAAAAGACATTAAGAGGTCACTGCTGTCCAAGAAGTAGAATGTACAGTAAATCAGAAAACCAAAATGGTGTTCCTAGTTTGGGATATGAGTTTTGTATTCAAACAAACATGAGATATCAACAAATGCAAATTTTGAGTAAAAACACTTTTATAATATATCCTTAATGCCCACATAGAATCAGTTTAGGTTGCACAGTGCTTGCATTAGTATTTTGAGTATTGAAATCAGTTTGCTCTTGCAGCAAAAAGAAGAACAACTTTGATTGTGTTGAACCAAATGATCTTATCCTGTTTTTCTTGACGGTACATTTGTGACCTCGACAACTGCACTTTTAGTCTGAAAGTACTGGATTTTCTCCTTTAGAAGCTAAGAATTGGTGTTTCCTCTGTAATTATAGCTAACATATAAAACGTGCATTGGCATATGTGTGTGTGTGTGTATGTGTGAGAAAGTAAAAGAGGAACAAAGGATTGGGGAAGTGAAATAATGAAGTAGTAAGAAAGAAAGAAAAAAAACTGACTTAATGTGTAATACTGACTACAGATGGCACGTTCAGGATCAAGCTCTTTCATCATGCCGTTTCTCATTAATAGAGAGCGAGGACTGCCCTAATTCCATAATTTCTAAATCATGCCAGTTAGTGAGACTATAAGGAGAGTAAAGTACAAGAGGGAGAGGAGAATAGATTAGCCCGTAGCCTAATCGTGTGCCTGCAAGAGTGAGAAATCAACAGAGGCGACGAAGACTGGGGGAAAAAAGTTACCAAGAGGGTCGCCATCTGTATTTCCTCCTTTTGCTTTTTGTTTGCTGCCAAAACCAATAGCATGTAGGCCAAAATCGCTCTTGCCAGTAATTGTCCCACATGCAAACAGCCAATGAATTTTTTTAAAATAACCAGGAGATTAATTAGATTTGGATGAGAATACGTGAGGACATAATAATGGTCCGTAAGCACGTGTGCGTGTCGCAGACATGGACTAGATCACTTGTTTCCCATGATTTCAAGAGGCACATCTGCTAGCGTCTGGCTCTACTCCATCCATCTTTTCTTTCCTAAGGACTGAGACGGGGAGGTTTTCGAGGCCCTGCTTGGTCAGGCTTAATTTTACGTTGGGCTAATTCCGCCGGTACATGATACTTGTCAGG